TTATGTCGTATATGGGTTTTCTCGCAACCTGCTCATATATATTTGATCGTTCTATGTATTATTCCACTTCTATTATTTCATCGAAGGACTTTTTGTATAAAGTATTCTCTTTACATAATTTTTTATTGGTTCTATGTTGTATTGATGAACAGAAAACTGTTCAAGACTCTTCTATGTCCATATATGGTTTATGGATTTGCTGATATTTCTTTTATATACATAGGGCATACCAAAAGTAGTGAGAGTGACACTTTAGCACCAGATAGTACACTTAAAGAAACTTTCTTTCTGTATAGTCTGATAGAGAAAAAAAAGCTCTATCTTTCTATGCGATTTCATGATGCTTCAACTAATATCATAATACTAAAATTTCGATAAGATGTGTTTCGTTATCATATGTGCTGGTTGTATTAATACTCATTTTAAAAAATACAAGTGACTATTTTTTGAATAACTTTTGATAAAAACAAGATAGAGTACTTCGGTTTTTACCGTTGGAAAGAGGAGATAAAGATGCATTGAGTCATGTATCCCAGTTTTTCCTAATCTGTTTTTTGTAAGTTTTTCAATTGATCTTTTCAAAAACAAACCTATCTGGTATGTTTTTTTACAATGAATTTCTAATTATCAAGTATAAATTCAAGCCACTAATCCAAGATCTAAAAGGTTCGGAACGCTAAGATAAATATTATGCATTCTTGCCAAACCTCTAATACGATTTTGTAGTAAAATCTGTGAAGAAAGCTTAGTTTTTTGCTTTCTCCTTTTTTTCATAAAAGAACCATTTTTACGATTGTTAGAAAATTTAATAAAAATACTTCAGAAGTCAATATTAGAAAAATCTACAATATACAATTCGATGCATCTTCATCTCCTTTTTCCAATGGTGAAAATCACACTTCTCTATCTTATTTGTATCAACAGTTATTCAAAAAATACTCAGTAGCATTCATAGAACCGTGACATATGCGAACAAAACAGATCTTATCGAAATTTCATTAATATGATATTAGCTGAAGTATGACCAAATAGCATAGAAAGATAGAGCTTTTTTTTCTCTATCAGACTATACAGAAAGAAAGTTTCTTTAAGTTCACCATACGGTATTAAAGTGTCACTCTCACTACTTTTGGTATGCCCTAAGTAGATTCATTATAATTGCCAATTTAGATGAAATACCTTATTTTGAAATGGAAAAAATTCATACAAGCAACAGAAAAAAACACATTCAAGCTATCAAAATATTCTACACAGGTATTATTTATAGATTATTTTTAAGTATGGTAATGCTTGACCATAACGATAAACGATGTATTCTTCATATTGTCCTCCTGTTCCTTGAACAGAATGAAATCCAATAGGTGCTGAAGTCAATTTAGGATTATCTTGATTTAGTACTGAAGGAATGCCTAAGAGAACTTTGGCATAAAACATAGCATGTGTTCCATCATTTGTATCAGGTCTTGCATAACCATGTGATTTTTGTGGATTATCAGCAAAATATGCACCATGACCTATTAAATAACATAAAACAACATATGATTTATTTTGTATTATTAGAAATAGAACTAAATAATGATTTACCCCATCGTCCACTGGAACTAAAATATCGATCATCAAAACCATAATCTGTTATGCCTTGTACAGACTCAGGTTTTGTTCCATGAAATAATTC